GCAGGTAGTTCATGGGGACTTCCCAGGCACTTCACGTGCAGTTCAGGAGGCAGGAGGTAGTCTTCAGGATTCGGCAGCAGCACTATGGATGACTCTTATACACATCTAGATGTGTATAAGAGACAGAGGTAGTAGTAGCGTTAGGCTTTAGTCTTCAGCGCTGGGCGCAGTAGGTAGCTTTAGTCTCCAGCGCAGGGCGCCATAGCTAGGATAGCACTAGAGAGAGAGAGAGAGATTGGGCGGAGGCCAGAGGTACTAACCTGCAGCGCCATAGCTCCAACTTCGTCTTTGAGGTACCTGCAGCACAGCGCCAACATCACAGGTTAGTCCTGGCTCGTAATGGAGAGAGAGAGTTCTTCTTCTTCCTCTTCACAGTCCACCATCTCCCCCTCACCTCCTCGCTACCTGACTGCACTGCATCAGCACGAGAGAGCGGGATTGGGGACATTTGGATCCAGACTCGACATTGGGCTTCAGACATTTGACGGGGGATTATCTGGGACTTGTACCGAAGACTTGGTGTTGACGACATTCCCATCTTCCCCCTCTTCTTCGTCCGATCCCCTCCTCTTCGTCTGTGTATGGTCTGGACCTGGCGCATTCTTCCTGTGTGTAGCGCCAGGCCCCTTCACACCTTGTGATGAGGATGATGTATGTTTGGTCTGCATTGCGACATTGATTGGGCTAGTCATTGGTATTCTAGCATTCCGCCGCGCTGTCTTGTACTACGTGAGAGAGGTCAGTCCCGGTCAGGTCAGGGCCTATATCTAAGTCTTCCACTGTGCTACAAGGTGCCATTTTGTATGTATCAGGATGTACATTGCTTGTTGAGATTCCACTAACACCGCATTGTCCATTCAGTCCTTTTTATCACATTGCGGATCCTTGTCTATACATACATTGCCCAACTGGGCATGTAACACCTACACAGACCTATGACAGTCAACAGTCAGGTATCAAAACACAGGTCACGGGTTCAAAACACACAAGGGTCGACTTGATACTGTACACGGGTGAGGTAAGGTCTAGGGATCGAGCCCTGGGATCTGCATCTGTTACTGCAAAGGTGAAAACCGAAGGCACGCCACACTACTCACCCAGTGTACAGAATGAGAATGAATCTTCTGCTAGAACATGGAAAGATGCACCACCTTTTTTGTCTCTTCTGCATTTGGTGAGTTGTGTGGTGAGGCGATGAGACTCATTTTTTAACTGTACTCGGACTGCAGCTCCTTACTCAGATTGCGCCATTTCTTTTTCTTTTCTTCCCTCCTTTTTTTCCTTTTTTTTTTGTTTGGATTTGAACCATTTCTCGATTTATGTGTCATCCTTGCGCAGGGGTCATGCGAACCTTCTCTGTGTCGTTCTAATTTTAATGGATGTCCCGAAGGACAACCGCGACATTTCTTGAATGCATCTGACTGCAGTTACGGGTGGACAGCTCCTTTGTCCATACTTCTACTGGGATTTCCTTTGAATGTATCTGACCGCAGTTAAGGGCAGTCAGCTCCGTAGGGCATAATGATACTGGGACCTTTTGGGACATACGCTGGGACTTGACACTGGGACCTTTTGGGACATACACTGGTACTTGGGACGACTTAGTGCACACTCACACGCCGACTGTTTTTAGGGCATACTAACACGACGACCTTTGGGGACCTACTCACACTGGGACTTGGCCCAACTTGGCGTACTGACATAGGGACATTTGACAGAGCTCCGGGCCTGATCGCATTCACATGTGTCGAACTCGCGCGTAATCGCAGTCAGACACATTCAAAACAGTTAAGTCCCGTGGGCCGGCCATTACTTGCCTGTTTTTCCGTTTTCTGTGTTTCTTGGGCCTTTTTTACCTTTTGTTCGCCGGGTCACATAGCATCGCCTGACCTGCCTCGGCATCGCCCGCAGCGCGCCACGGCTTGTAGTAATAACAATGAAAGAATGAACCCGAGCCAATGTCCGATTAGAGGGCGTAGGGCAGATGCTCTCGTTGGTTTGGGTTTTCGACGGCATTTCAGCACTCCAGTCTGCAGTTCAGGATTGGGATCTCACCCAGGTTCCTGGATGGGGCCCAGGAGTGGGGCCATTTCCGGTCTGACCGTCCCTGGTTGAGTACGCTTTGCTATATATGGATAGTAGCCAAGAGTACTCGTCACACTTTGTTTCTCCACTTCGCCGATTGCCGCACACGTTGAGCTGAGTGGCATGTTCCTGCACGTGAGCCACAAGCTGTGAGTATTGGGCTCGAAGATTATTCCCCGTTTTGCGCGATGGAACGTTTTTCTTCAGGGCTCCCACCCACCCCATATTCCCTCGGCGCTGGGGCCCTGGGGCCAGGGCAATTGTTCTATGGAAATTTCTGGGTCAGCATTGATCTTCCATCTTATTCCTTGTCATTTGTTGGATTCGCAATCATTTTTGGATTCGGGGTCATCAGGACCTCCGAACATCAATCTCCTCCTTACCGCCAGCATCTCATGAGGTCCACCATAGCTGTGACCTACGCCTTCTTCCACCTCCTTCTAGTAGGTGGCTATGCGGACTAGCTGAGACTTGTTGCGATGTTCAAAGGACAATGTAAAGCTGATGTGCCCTCTCTACTATTACAGCCATGCCCAAATCTGCCCTGAAGTCTTCCCTGATGAAGTCTAACCTCTATGGGGCCTTCCAGGTGCAGCGCCAACCAAGAAGATGAAGATGCCATCCACCATAGCCAGGTAAGCTCTCCCGTCACTCTCATCCTTGCTGACCTTCTTCTTCTTCCTCCTCCTACACCCCAGAGCCTGCCCTCGTGGTCCGGTCCACTCTAGCTGAGCGTAGGGCCAGGCCGCCTTCAGACCGGCCAAGCGCTCGCTCCAGCAGCGTGACGCCAAACTTGCACACCGCAAAATGAGGAGGAGCACTTTGCTCCTCCAGAAGATCTACCAGAATTCTGCCTCCTTGGGCGGTGACTTTCCAGGCTGCTCGGCCTCCCAAGCTACGGTTACCTTCCTCCTTTCGGAGGAAACATCATTGCACGACTGATATCTTCCGCTGCAGGGCCTAGACTCAGACTACTGGATCGACACCCCTAGACCTTAGCCTACCGGGCTCTAAGCATCCCTTTGTCCTCTAAACGTGCTAACTTTTTGTCTTCGTCTGCCTATCTACCCGCTACTCAAGTGTTTTCCAACCTACACGGGCCTAGCCTATCCACTACTTGAGTGTTTTCCACCTACGAGGGCCTAGCCTACCACTACGTCCCCACTGCAACCCCACAAAAGCATGGCCACAGGTACATACCAGGCCCGAGGGCCTATCCAGCATACAAGGACCCTGGCGGGTCACACGCAAACCCCAGCAACCATGCTGATGGAAACTCAGCAAACACGCACACTCACAGACTAGAAATTTCAGCAGAAAGCGGGAATCTCAGCAAGTCACACAATCCGGGGGCAAAACTCAGAAAACAGCAGAGTTCTCGGTCTGTGATTTCACAGGTCATCACTGCTATGTAGTACACGCAATTTCAAGTTAAACTACAGAACATCACAGAAAAAAAACACCTACAAGTTAATTTTCCAAAAGAAAAGATTCGCTGGCCTGTGTTAGGGAGAGGTGGATCAAAACGAGAGAGTATACGAGCAAACCAGTTTCTTTCTACTCTATGCAATGACCGGTTACCCATAGTTGTTTGCCCGCTAGGGACTGGTTGATTGACCGAACCAGATCAGAACAAAAAGGCATCCTAAGTTCCTAACCCCTTTTCACGAGAAGTGTTTTATTGCTACCCCGGAAAGGGGGACCAAGGAAACAATTGAGCAACTTTTCATGTTCTTTCCAAGACTCCAAGTGCCACATTGTTATGGAGATGGTGGGACAGGACATGGAGATGGATCACTGGTGAAACTACTTGGCCTTGGGACTGGAGGGACTACCTGGCCTTGGGACTGGAGGGACTACTTGGCCTTGGAACTGGAGGGACTACCTGGCCTTGGGACTGGAGGGACTACCTGGGCTTGGGACTGGAGGGACTACNGGACTGGAGGGACTACTTGGCCTTGGAACTGGAGGGACTACCTGGCCTTGGGACTGGAGGGACTACCTGGGCTTGGGACTGGAGGGACTACTTGGGCTTGGGACTGGAGGGCTATCCTTTGAGGCCATTGCCGGAAGTATGCAGGTTGTGATTTGAAGGCAAATTGGTTTTGCATTGGAAGAAAATCAGTTTTCTAGTCCCTTTGGACACAGAGATGCACCCATAATTGGGAGGACGTATTAACCTCTGGCCAGGAAGTATTCCAGACTATCATAGATTTTATTCAGAACAAATCTAATCTACTTAAAATGAATGGAAGGTCAGTTTTGATCAGATTAAGATTCTAAATGCGGCTAAGTACAGGATGGAAAAAAAAAAAAAAAAAAAAAAAAAACAAAAAAATAAAAAAAAAAAAAAAAAAAAAAAAAACCTTAAAATTAAAAAAAAAACTTTAAAAGTGAATTCATTGAAAAATGGCTTGGGGTGTTTTTTTTCTTCTTTTCCGGATGGACCACGGATCAGATATTAAACTGACCAGAACAGACACTACAGTTGATCTGACGCAAAAGGTTGAGAACTCGGAGAAAGGTATTTTACTATTTAGTCTATTTTAGTATTTTGTACTATTTTGAATTTTCTCTTTTGGAACATCATTATTGTGGCTGATACAGGGGAGGGCCTCTGACCGGGGCCCAACTGAAAGTGAAGTGGTTTTCTGTAAAAGAACGAACAATACAGTATGGGTGACTAGGCTGTTTGGAAATAAAGTGCTTTTCTGTTAGGTGGATTCTCTCCCTTACCGTAGATTACAAAGGTCAATGGCCAGAGACAGCATTAAAAAAAAAAAAGAAAAAAAAAAGGAAAGGAAGATCAGTGCCCAGAGACAGAGGATGTGAGTAAAAGGAGAACCTTGCCCCTGTTGCATGTGCAGATTCATGCGAAGGGTCTAAGAATCTCTGGTAGAGGCAGCCAGTTACTTGGGCAGAAGGCATGCCTCTCATCGACAAAGAAATGGTACTTCATCAGAGAGAATGTCAGGAGGAGAATGCATCATTCCTTTCACAATGGTTCTTCATGTGGGTCACTGATCTCATCAAGCTAGCAAACAGGAAGACACTTGAGATTTGTGACCTATGGGACTTGCGTAAAGGTGGTGATACGCAAACCGTCACAAGAAGTCTGGAGAAGCAATGGTCTGAGCAACAAAAGAAGCCGAGGCCTTCCATTGTCGCTGCCATTTGGAAGACCATTTGGAAGCCGTTTCTCTCTGCATGTTTTGTGAAATTGCTCAATGATGCTTTCCAACTGTCGAGCCCCTTACTGGTCCAGAAGATCATCAACCTTGTTCAGGCCAAGAACACATCACAGACCATTGGGCTTTCCTTTTCAGCCTTGTTTCTTTTCATATCGATTGCGCAAACGGTTACAGTGCACATTTACTTTCACAAGTTATTCCACATCACGTCAGTGGTGCGTGCGAGCATGGTGTGCTTGGTTTACAAGAAGGCAATGCGAATCTCAACGGCAGCAAGCAAAGGGGCGAGCACTGGGGAAATAATGAACCTGCAAAGCAATGATGTGGAAAAGCTTCGTGACGCAATTCTGTACATTAACGTTCTATGGGACGGGCCACTGCAGATTTTTATTGCACTTGCGATGCTCGTGAACGTCATTGGTCCATGGCCAGCTCTTTCGGGATTTGCGGTATTGGTATTGATGATTCCAGGACAGAGCTTTGTGATGAGCTGGTTGTCGAGTGTGCGCACGAAGCTGATTAAACACACAGATGAGCGAGTGAAGCTTATCACGGAGATTATTCAAGGCATCAAGGCAGTGAAACTTTACGCCGGAGAGGAGCAGTTCATTCAACAAGTAAACAAGATCCGCAAGAAGGAGCTGAAACATATTTGGAAAACCCTCTGCATTGATATTCTCAACAGCTTTGCTTGGATGCTCGGTCCGACACTCGTTTCCTTGATGAGCTTCAGTGTCTATACGATACTGGGAAACCAACTCACTGCGGAAGTCGCTTTCCCGGCACTAACGCTCTTCAACCTTATCAGGTTCCCACTTGTGGCCATCCCCTACCAGATTAATTCTCTTGTCCAGGCAAACGTGTCAATAGAGAGGTTGGAGAAGTTCTTGGCACTGCCAGAGCTAATTGTGCAGTCGTCTACCTTTCATTCCACAACAGGAAGTATAACCGTCACTGAAGCTGATTTTACGTGGCATCCAGCGGAATCGGATAATGTGGCACCTCCTACCTTGTCCAAAATCAATCTCCAAGTTTCCCCAGGACACCTTGTCATCGTAATTGGCGAGGTTGGGGCAGGTAAGTCATCGTTGCTTGCAGCTATACTCGGCGAGATGCGGAAGCTGTCGCTAGGTAGCTATGTTTCCGTGTCTGGGTCTATGGCGTACACCGCACAGGACCCATGGATTCAGAATGCTACGGTGCAGGAAAACATTCTGATGGGAAATCAGTTAGACGAGGAAAAGTATAACCAAGTCATCAATGCCTGTGCTCTGGTAGAAGATCTGGGAATGCTTCAAGGAGGAGATCAAGCGGAAATTGGAGAGAAAGGCATAAACTTGTCAGGAGGGCAGAAACACCGCGTGGCACTGGCGAGGGCTGTTTATGCCAGTGCTGACATCTACCTTCTTGACGACCCGCTGAGTGCAGTGGACACTCATGTTGGACGCCATCTCTTTGACCATTGCATCTGTGGGCTACTAGCCCAGAAGACACGCATCCTAGTAACGCACCAACTCCAGTTTGTCGATGCGGCCGATGCGATTGTTGTTATGCAACAAGGGACGATTACAGACGTTGGGACTTACCTGGAGCTAAGGCAGAGGGGAATCAATTTTGCCATGTTTGAGGAACATGAAGATGGCAGTCATGCAGACAGTGCTGCCAACCCATCACTGGGTCAGACGTCTGATCAGCTCTGGCAATCGACATCGGAGTTGTCACTGTCTGGTCTGGATGCTCTGTACGTTCCCGACTCTGCTGGGAGCCCAAAGTCTTCTCAAACGTATCTCCATCAGACTTCACTGAACCAATCCAATCCTGTGTACGAGGGGGAAGATAGACCTGCAGGTATGCCAACCAATCACACAGGCCGCATGGGATGGCATGGGAACCATGGCCAAGGAAGCGGCAAGGACAAATGGACTGGTCAGAGTGATGGAGTAGAGGACGCTGGCAGCAAAGCTCCCAATGATGATGCCAGTGACGTTGAGGAGGAGAAGGAGGAAGCTGTAGGGCAGGGGCTGAATGCACCTCTCTTAACAGCTAAGGGAAAGGAACGTTCCCATAGCCGGAAGTCTGAACGAAGGCAGGGGAGTGGGGAGGTGGAGGTGAACAGGCAGGTGGGAAAAGAAGTCGACAGGGAGAAGAAGAGGGTAAAGGGTATGCTGGTGAAAAGCGAGCATCGATCAGAAGGAAATGTTCAGAGGGAAGTCTACTTGAAATACATCAGGGCCTGGGGTCGCTGGTACTGGGTGCCTGTTTTGGTTCTGGTTGCATATGTGATTGCACAATCTGTGAAGCTTGCAAATGACTCATGGTTGGCTGTCTGGTCCGGAAACATAAAAGAGCATCCAGACGCTGATCAGTATTATTTGCGAGTGTACGGAATCACTGCGGGTGTGGCAATGGTCCTCGTCACGGCGCGATGGGTCATTCTCAGTTTTGGAGTTTGGAATGCAGCTCGGAACCTGCATATGCAGCTCCTCGAACACTGCATGCGCCTGCCGATGTCCTTCTTCGACACCCAGCCAACAGGACGTCTGACCAACCGGTTCACAAAAGATACAGAGCAGATGGATCTGGCATTACCCAACACAATCGAGAGCTACTTGGAGTGCTTCTTCCAGACAATCTTTGCATTATTGCTCATCGTAATCATAACACGTGCCTTCATCCTCCCCCTCATCCTCCTCGTTTGGCTTTACAAGCGGATCGAAGCATACTACCTACACGCCTCACGTGAACTGAAAAGGTTGGATGCTTTGCTGCACAGCCCCATATTCTCACACTTTGCGGAGACCATTCGCGGGCTTTCAACTATCCGCGCGTTCTGCAAACAGGAGGCATTTGTGCAGTTGAACTATTCGCAAGTGAACGATAGCAGCCGGGCATACCTTGCAAGCATTTCAGTTAATCGGTGGTTGGGAGTGCGTCTCGAACTCATCGGAGCAGCTTTGGTGTCCAGTGTTGCTTTCATCAGTTTCCTCGGCCTGGGCACGGGTGCTGGTGCTGTAGGTCTTGCCCTGACGTCAGCTCTCAGCATCAGCAATGTGATGAACTGGATGGTCAGGGTGAGTGCGGAAATGGAAACGAGTATGAACTCGGTTGAGAGAATATTGGAGTACACATCTCTGGAGACGGAGGCACCTGCCATCGTTCCCGAGAACCGACCACCTCATGATTGGCCGCAGCGTGGCACAATTGAGGCTGTTGATGTGTGGGTGCGCTATCGCCCCGAGCTTGACCCTGTACTTAAGGGATTGACGTTCACTGTTCAAGGGGGGGAGAAAATCGGGGCCTGTGGAAGAACAGGTTGTGGAAAGAGTACGTTGACGATGGCTCTGTACCGCATTGTGGAGCTGTGCCGTGGCAAATTTTTTATTGACGGAATCGATGTGTCAAAGATCGGTCTCAAGGATCTGCGGTCCAAATTGGCTTTGGTGCCGCAGGACCCAGTTATCTTTTCTGGAACAGTACGCATGAACCTGGATCCACTTGGAGACGCAGGCAGCGACTCACAGCTCTGGGAAGCCCTCCGTAAATCTGGCATGGCCGCTGCTGTGAGTGCACTGCCCGGTAAACTCGATGCAGAAGTGACTGAGGCTGGGCAGAACTTCAGCGTCGGGCAAAGGCAATTGCTGTGCATGGGACGGGCACTGTTGCGGAACTCCCGYATTCTTGTGCTGGATGAGGCAACATCGAATGTSGACAGCTYAACAGACTCRATAATTCAGACAACCATCAGGGAATCTTTCTGCCACTGCACAGTCCTAACGATTGCTCACCGTCTTCACACAATCATCGACAGCGACAGAGTCCTCTTACTGGAGAAAGGGGAGCTTCTGGAATTTGATGCTCCTGCCAAACTGCTTGAAAATGAGAGTAGCATGTTCACCTCCTTTGTGAACAGAACACTTCCAAGAGAGGCGCAGGCACTGCGCCGAGCTGCTTTGGCCAAGGCTGCTGCCCCTCCAGTGAACGCTTTTCAGCACTAAATGATGGTGAAGGTTATTATGGAGTGGGTCATTGGAACACCCCTGGCCCCAGCGCTCCTGATTTTAGCTGTTGGACACAGGACCAGGGCCGATTGATGCTCACATCTGCTCTAAGCTTGCAGCAATCTGGTCACCTTTGCAATGAATCTCAGAGTTTCTCACAAGAGCATAGAAGGACAAACGCCCTGGGGCCATGTCTCTGCTCCAGGATGAATCTGGTCACCTTTATGGTTTGGTTCATGCTGAGATGGAATGGTCGTAGAACTGGTGACATCTAGCTCTTCTCCATTGAAGCACTTCACTGCTTTAGATTCTCACCTCCTCGTCTTCGTCAAGAGCTGAGTAAAAGTATGGAAGATGACAGTGTCCGAGGAGTGGGGCCTGGATCGACTCCATGTCTGTCGTGGACAGTTTCAAACGAGGTCACACAGGGCAGAAGGGTCGTTGATGGCCAAGCGGCCATGAGATTCCTGTCCGCCTGAGCAGCAGGACAGAAGGGTCAGGTGTCAGTGAAGAGCATCAATGGCAAAGGGTCGAGTGGCCACAAGATTCCTCTTCGCCTGAGCAGCTCGACAATAGGGTCCAGTGTTGGTGAAGTCCTTCATTGGCGACTGGGGTGTTCTTTTGATGTGATATGTTACGTCTGAGGACGCCTTTTTTGTAAGAGAGGGAGCACAATCTCCAAAGGATTTGTATGGGGGAGCAATTAATCTGTGATTGCTGTGTTCCGGTTGCTCGTCCAGCTTATCATGGAAAGTAACCCCACTGTCATTCATAACATTGGTGTACTGGCAAATCAACCAACCTTGGAAAATCAACCAGTCGTTTACCATGTCAACTGCTGCTGCCTGTTGTATATGCAATGGATAGATAGATAGATAGATAGATAGATAGATAGATAGATAGATAGATAGATAGATAGAAAGAGAGAGAGAAAGGGGAGGAGAGATGTAGAGAGAGAGATGGGGGGGGGGGGGGGGAGGGGGGGAGAAGAGTGGGTGCATGTTGGAATCCTGTTATTTACGCTTGAATGCCTGCCATGGATGAAGGACATGCATGCTATGGGAGAATGTGTTGTTCGTCATGGGGTGCGCAAGAGGATCGAGTCCTTCACTGCCCCTTTGCCATGGACGACCACCAGTACCACCACGATCCTGTGTCTCCTTTGATCATGTGTGCCGTCCATCCCTTGTCCTCAGAACTCAAGCATATTTACACACACAGGTGATTGGAAAACAGCTAGAACTGTCATTTGGTAAATCCATCAAAATTGGAACGATACTGAGGAGATTAGGGGGATAAAAGGTAGGAAGAGAACCTCTGGTAGAAGCACTGAAGATTTTAATTGGATTTTTTTTATTTTTATTTTTATTTTCAATGGCCAGGGTGTTGTAGAGGTCGGATTCAGACCATGGGCGGTCCCGGAGATTTCAGCCATCCGGTTATCCTAATGGATTGCCTCATTCAGGCTCTGTGTTTCTATCACCACCTTTAATTGGATTTCTCTCACTGAGCATTTTCCATTTCTGGCACCAACGCAAACAGATGCGAATGCTGGCTTATTCTGGTCATTTGGTTCATTGGCTTAGTCTCGACACTTGGTTCATGTAGCCATTCCAGAAGCCAGAGGAGAAGATGTAAGAAGGGGCAATTTTTTTTAAGTTCTATTCCGCATCTTCACGGTGAACCGTAGGGGGAGAGGGTGAAGAGGACAACAGACGAGGGCTGTGACAGCCTGTCTCGTACGAGTTTTGAGTTTTAACCATCGGGAGGCTGAAATATTGCCGCATATATATGAAATGCATGGCTCGTCGCAGAGAACTGGCCAGTAAACCTTAAGCGGGAGAGGAGAAAAGGAGTGAGGCTCAGTGAGATAGGGACTCTATGTATGGCATGTATACACAGGACATGCACACAGATGTGTATGTGCTATATATACATACATAATAGTCAGTATACATGTCGTTAATGCACCAACGTCATCAACTTCAAAAAAGAAAACAAAGAAGAACACAGGACTATTGTTTTTGAAGTTTGAACTTCCTTTCCATCTCAGCACGCATTCAAGAAAGCAGGGGCTAGATCCCACTGGTGGGACCTCTCCCCGGAGGACTTCACAGTCTTACCATCACAGACGTGTCTTCTATGTGCAGCGAAGGTTACTTGCCGAAACTTCGCCAGGGATTTGTAACGATTGGGCTGTTCAGTTGGACGTAGGTCACCATGTCGTGTATTTTGGAAAGGGGAAAAAAAAAGAAACAGTTGGGCTTCAACAAGAGTAGCCTAGGTCCAGCCACCACAAGTGCATCCATGCCACATCCACTGGGGATCGAGGGCATTACTCGCACGGGGACTTCCCGAAATGCATCTGACCGCAGTAATGTCCATAAATAAGCAGAAAAGTCCTAGTGTAAGTATGCCCTGAAGCACACGAAAAACAAAATAAGAAAGACGGAACAGGCTGTAGCTGGCGCTAATTAGAACTGAACTACAACTCTTCTTCTGTTCTTGTCTGAGGGGCTGCATTAGATTAGGTAGGACTGGACCGGTTTGTCGGATCAGACCTCTCTTATGGAATTATTATTTTGTGATGTTTGTTTTTCATTCTCCTGTCCAAATGAAATGCTGCTCCAGCGGGAGTTATCCTTTTCTAAGTTTTCTTCTTGTGCGTAATTGATTCTTTGTTTGTGTTACGATCCTGGCCAATTCCAAAGTGCAAGTATACAAGGAAATGCAATGCCATCCAATTGCAAAAATGAATGAATGAACTTGAGAGGAGAGAGAGGCAAACGGAAGAAGAAGAAGCAGAAAGAAAGAAGAAGAAGAAGATGTACACCAGCGAAAGAACAATGACAAATCCACCTTCTCTCGCCAGCCAACTCCTCCTTGTATCCCCCTCTCTTATTCAAACAATAAGCAATAAGAATAACAATGAACGGCTGAACCAGAACCAATGTCCGAGTCCCTCTCCTACTGCCAGCACAATAAGAGGTCCACCATAGCCATGACCTCTATCTTCTCCCACTTCTGAGAGGCAATGGCTATGGCAGACTGCTAGGGGCCCTGCCCCGATGTTGAAAAGACAACACAAAGCAGCTATGTCCTCCACTCTTCAGGCCACCATGCCTGATTGGTGTAGTGCTACCCCACTAGGGGTCTTCCAGCTGCTGCGCCTACCAAGGAGATGAACATGGTGCCCACCATAGCTAGGTAAGTACCTCTGGCCGCTGTCCTCCCTAGTCCCCATCTTTCTCCTCCTCCCACCAGGCGCTGTCCACCATAGCCAAGGTGGAAGCCCTGGCACCCTTCCCAAGTGCTGCACGCTAGTGCTCTCCACCAGGCGCTCCAGCAGCGTGACGCCGAAACTTGCATGCAGCAAATGAGGAGAAGCAACTCGCTCCTCCTGGAGATATAGCGGCCAACCAGTTTCTTGGGCGGGTATTTCCAGGCCGTGCAGCCTCCAAGCTACCGGTACTTCCTTCCTTGCGGATGGAAACATCATTGCAGACCTGATATCTACTGCTACAGGCCCTAGACTCTACACTACCGATGGTGATGGCGAAGGTGTGAAATTCGGCGCTGTTATCATCATTTTCATCATCATCATCTTGTAGTTTTCATACGACTCTGTGCGTCAACATCTTCATCATCAGCATTATCATCATCTTCATCGTCATCATTCTTAGGTTGCTATCCAAGGTGCTCGTCAGCACACCATCATCTTTTTGTAGTTACCAGAGGGCGTTCTGAGTCATCACTTTCTTTCATAATCATCATCATCACCATCGTTACTTACATCACCATCAACAGCCTTGTTAGTACGCTCATCACCATCGGTAACGTTATGAATATCACTAATACAATCATCAGCTCATCATCATCATCATCATTGTTGAAATTACCATCAACATCGCCGTCATCATATTATCTTCATCATCATCAACATCATCAGTAGTTCGCAATCACACTCACTTTTACCATCATCATCATCATCATTAGCCTGATTTCATCAGATATTGTTCTGCATCAGAAGGCGAGGCTGGATTGGATTGTTCCTGGAGGGTTGAATGGTGGGAACGGGGTGGGGGGAGCTCTATCCTGCAGAGGCAGCGCAAGGAGGGGGGCGAATGTCTCAAAGAGGGTAGGGGCGAAGTAGGGGGTGGCCTTATTCCGGGGCGAGGACTGTGTGAGGGCCAACATTAGTCCCTGCGGAGGTGGAAATGGGCAAGGGGTGGGGGGGCACGTTTTAGGTGGGAACTGCGTGCTCCTGGGGTAAGGGGGGAGAGGATTGGTCCTATATTGGGGCCGAGGGAGGGTGGATGACCTTCCTCGGTGGAGGCAGTGTAGGGCTGAGGGGGGAGGGGTAGGGGGAGGGAGGGGCGATCTCGCTCGATGAAATCTATCATCCAGCTTAGTATAGCCCGCCATTTGCTTGCCTTCCGAGGAGGTAGTAGGAATAGGTGCTACCCGGCAAATCCACCCAGGATCCTGCGAGGGGTGGCTGAAACGTCGGTGGTCCTCGAGGACCGATGCTGGAGCAACGCTGGCCGGAGCCGGAGCCAGCTGGCGCAACTCTGTGACCTAGCTTAGTGGGGGCGCGAGGCCTGGTAGAGAGCTGGGGGGCTGTTTGCGGGGGCAGTCCTAGCGGTCATCGGGGGTCGTAACGGGAGCGATGCTGGCCGGTGCTGGAGCAAGGTGGTGCAACTCTGTAACCCAACTTGATGGGAGCATGAGGCCCGGAAGAGTTTCGGTTTGTGCGGATTCTCGCCATGCCGGTGGGGGGTGTAGGTGGATTGAATAGGTTTCACCTATTCGTAGGACCTCTTTGGTAGGTGATTGCATGAGTAATTGATAGTTTTTCCATTGTGTTCATAGATGGTTGGGTAGGTTGTACAGCTATCATCTTCAGCCGAAGCCGGGTAATGGCCCCGGCATCTTAAAGTTTTCTGCACAATTCTCTCAATATGGGTTTGAATGGGATGCTGGGCCCGGTTCCCAGCACGTGTTGCTCCCCACGAATAGATTGGAGCATGTCCTTTTCAAAAANCTCTACCGGACCTTAACCCCTAAAGGTACTAACTTTTTGTCTTCTTCTGCTTGGCCTACCGCTACGCAAGTGCTACCGGTACCGACGCTACGCTACTTGACTGTGCCCCAAGCTACCCCTTCGGCCACTTGAGTGTTTTTCCCCACTGCAACCCCCAAAGTCACAGCCGCAGGTAAGTACCATCCCTGCGGGCCTTCCAAACAAACAAGTTCCCCGGCTGGCCATACACACACTCAGACCGACAAGCACTCAGACAGGCACACGGACCAGCAAACACGCACACACACAGACTTGGGAAACTCAGCGAAAGCAGGAATCTCAGCAAGGCATACATTCCAGAGGCAAAACTTAGAAATCAGCAGTGTTCTCAGTCTGTGTTTTGGCAGGTCCTTACACTTCCTCCCCCTCAAGAGCAAGGTCCCTTCGAGCGGGTAATTCAATATGAGTCCCTGCCAAACACATTATAAGCAAACATAGCACAGAGAGTTCATGTGTTGTCAGTAGCAGTGAGTTTCACAGAGAATGCTGGAAGAGTATCAGAAATTATATGTCGTTCATATGCTTTGACGACGTAGGTGCACTTTTCGGCAATTCTTTCTTTGATCAGTAGAGATCGTCCAACGAGGGATACAAAAAGTGAACTTGGTACTGTCTGTTACGTCCCTTGCCAGTATGACTCATAAGTATGTCTATCTGGTGACCACCGTTGATTGCACGAGGGATCATAGGCTGGAGATGATAGAAGGAGTCACGAGAAACATATGGAAATAGCTTAAACGCGTGAAAGACCAGATATGTGCGCAAATGAGGAGGCACATCAATCACATATGACAGACTAAGCCAATCATCACCCACCACCTCCAGAACCTTCCACAGACCGTAGTAGAGAGGGAGAAGTTTTTGTGACACCCCCTCTTCTTCTGAAAACTCAGACATTTTCACGCAAACGCAACTTCCCACTTTGAAAGTCGAAGGCCTGGGCCTTTTGTTTGCATGGTGGATCATGACATGCTGTCAATTGGTCATTGCTGCAACAACAACTTTGAGGAAGTGATCGCACTCGACGTTGTAGCCAGGCATGTCAGGCGTGAGACCAGGCGGCTGTTCGGGGAACAAATAGGAGAGAGGGTTGCGAATCTTCCAACCGAAATGCAGCCTGTTCGGCGTTATATCGGTGGAGTGAATCGAGTCGTTGTACAACCCTTTCACTGCATACAACTCTTCATCCCATGTCTCCTAATCGGGAATGATTAGAGCATTGAGAAGTTGTGTCACAGTCTGGTTGATCTCCTCAGCCAAACCATTGGCTTCGGGGCGGCGACCAGATGTTATCTTCAGTCGGATATCTAGAGTTGGGAGGTGAAGTTCTTCTAGTCCGCACTTATGAACCGAGTGTCCTGATCACTCACAAGAGTTTTCGAGGACCATATTGCAGAATGAAGACTGTACTTCTTATGGAACCCATCGACCACGAACAGTTGCGGCGTGAGGTGACAATAGAATCAAATTCAGGAACTTAGAAAAATGATCAACGATCACCATCACTTGTGAATATCCTTTCGTACTCAACTTACCCATGTGTGTGAAGTCAATGGAAGTGGACTCTCCGTTGGGGATGGGAAGGGGTTTCAGTAGTCCAAGGGACCTCTTGTCCAGATGGTTTGATCCGTTGACAGGCTGGACACTCAACCACAAACTTGTTGGCAGATCATTTTATTTCGGGCCAATAAAATTGTTGTATGATTTTCGTAAGTCTTCTCAAAACCGAAGCATCCGCTCCGGCTATGAGTCAAATCCAAAAAGTGAGTGCGGAGAGGATTATGGTTGGGTACACACAAATGGTCTTGCTTTTCATAGTGTCGGAATATCAGACCCTCGCACTCGTGGAAGTCGGGCTAACTATTTGGGTCAACTTTGAGCTGCTCAAGGGTAGGACTAAGGTCCGAATCCTTGGCAGTTTGCTCTACTAGCTCCTCCTTCAGTTTCCTTCGGAGGTTGTAGGAGCTCACAAGGCAAGTTATATACTTCTGGTGGCGAGACAATGCCAACTAGATTGTAACATGTATGCTTTAATTCAAAGTCACATACGTCAATTTCATACAGCCAACAGGTCAACGTTGTAGATAGATTAGTTTGTGATTTGATCCACTACAAAGTTAATGACCAGAAAAGACATAGAAGTGGTGTCCCAAAAGATAGTGCTTCCTGTGGTCCAATGTCTCACGCAGAGCATAAAGCTAGTGCATGTACATGGAAGTAGCTACCTTTTCGATGGGCATGCGTTTGCTATGGTATTTGAGCGGCTGTAAGCCATTACCATCATCTTTTTACAGCACTGCACCAATCCCATACCGACTCGCATCCGTAGTAACTATGAATGTGAGTTTGGGATCTGCATTGCGTAGCACAGGATGACTCGTCAAAGGCTCTTTCAAGGCTTGAAAGGCAGTGTCACAATCTTCATTCCATGTGTAGGATACATTCTCGCTTGTTAGTTTAAACAATGGGCGAGCAATGATAAAAAAATTGGGAACAAACTTTTGGTAGTATGAAGCAAGATCAAGAAATGAATGCAGTTCAAATACATTC